CTTAAACACAAATAATAATTATTGTTATAGCAACCATCATTTTTATTTATCTGATCTCGGATTCATATAAAAAAAAATTTTTGAAATTAACCCATCTACAATCTGTCAAAGTTTGTCATAGAGCTTATAGAATACCCTGTAAACCTTCTTTAAATTACTTTGTGTAGGGTTACCTGAAATCAATGGTGATGCATTTATGAAATTATGTTTGATTTATTTTCTTTCGATTTTCAACGACTCATCCTGAGAATAAAACAAAAAAAATTGATTATGAAAAGCGTTTATTTTATTTCATTTTAAAATAATGACGTTCCCGTTGGAAATTCCTTTAATAAAGAGCCTCTGTTCAATTTGACAGACAAGTATGATATTACTCAAGAAGTTTTCTAGCAATGCAAAAACTTAATTTTCAATTGTTCATATCTTTCCGATTTCTAAATAAACTGAAAGATGCATTTTTTAAATTCAAATCAGATTTTTTTAAATATATAAACTGAATACTTTTTATATGCGAAGAGTGTGATGATACGCCACTGTTGGCAGCAGTGCAAATAATATTTGGGTATTAAAAATAAATCAATCAAGCCGTCGGTGTTCTCGGCTTGTTGGGAGGTTGTAGGAGTAAAGCTCCGCCTTACTTGCAACGACCGCCTCTTAAATATACCTTGGCCTGTTCTTATTATTATTGACAAGTTCAGGTATGCTAACACCACATTGTAATTCTACCTGAGAAAAGTTATTTAAAAATCTGACGTTAATTGCCCAGGTATTTTTAAATTACACTTAAACGGTTTAAATGCAATCCTGTTATGAAATTACTGTGCATTCATTGCCTCGTTTTATGCCTTGCGCTGTTATTCTATCCATAAAAAGTTGTTCGGTCATGAGTGTTTGAAGGGAATAGAATTCTTGCCCGAGAATATAATGCGCATGAGATTATAAGTTTGTTCGTGTCAATGAAAGTATATGCCATATCTAAATATAATATGTAAATAGATAAATAAACTCTTGTGTCAGAAGAATCCATGTTGATTTTTTGAAAACTGAAATTTTGCACTTCATTTTTCTTTGTATTGCGTGTTCTCAAATGTTGATAAACTGTTATAATTTATTAAGTATATTCAAAATATTTATACTAACCAACTAATATCATCGCCTTAGAAAAAGTTTTCTGAAAAGTTTAAGTTAATTAAGTAAATAACTATTAATATTCAGATTCATTCTACTTTTTAAAAGGAGGTCACAATGCTTAAAATGTGAAAATATATTAGTGGAGTGGCTGAATTCTGTGTGCGTTTTCTTTATGGTTCTTCTTGAATTAAATTTATAAAAGTATGACGTAGAGTTTATCACTTTTTTTTTAATTTGTAGTGTGACAAAATAGAAATGGTTTCTAAATACTAGTTTTTAAACACCAAAATGGTTCGTCATCAGATATATAAAAAACGCAGAGCTCGTTTGATTATCTTGTTTAATCTTTCTACATAGACATTGGTAGAGAAGCTTGAGATACTTAATTGATTTTTTGTATAAAAAAATGTCTAAAATAATTCACTCTTTTGAAAGAGCATCTTAATAGACATGAATAACACACAGTCGCATTGTTCGATATTGAAAAATCTCACCATTTCTAAAATTTGTTAATCATCTTCCATCGCACGGATTTTGAAAATAAAAAATATCCTGGATTACTTTAATATTTTGCTAATACTTTATATCAATCAAAATAGAAAAAATCAAAACGTCGGTGTTAGAATTACATGTAAAAACTATATATTCATCACTAGATAAATAGGTAATTAAATAAAAACGTAAAAAAAATCCACGTTTCTATCAGTCAGCTTGATGTACAATTGTCCAGTCAAATAGTGTTCAATGACACACGCACACAAAAAAATCCAGACCCAAGAGATCCACATGTCACATCCGATGGAATTCGATGCGTTGATTGTGTTCAGTTTAGTAAAAATTCATGACGAAGATGAATTTCGGAGAATAGTGAAATTGGGTGAAAACGCTCAAATATGAGTAAAAACTGATTTTTTCCTAAATTTTGTCCAAATTTATAATTTTTGTTGTATTTTGAGGAGTTGACCTCGATGCTATTAGTAAAATAATACCATGACTTCGATCTTCTCAGAAAAACCACTATTTGGGTGAGAACTGGCCAAAATACTATGAAAATTATACTTTTTTATTGTTGATTTTTCGAGAAAAAGTTATTTTTGATAAAAAGTTTTGCTTATCTTGTGATGTCATCGGCAAGCGTCCAACAAATTTCAAAATGTGAAATTCTCCCTAAGCAGAGTGCCTTTCATTTTTGTTTTCGTTAAAAACTGTATTTAACAAAGTTGTTCCAGAACTCATGAAATGAAATACGGGGTTTAGTCAGAAAAGAGCAATAATCACATTTTGCAAATAAATAGATGCCGCAATTTTTAACTATCTTTTATACAGGGTGTTACTGATAAGTTTTGCACTCCAGTGGCGTAGTTATTGGGGGAATTGGGGAACTTTTTTGAAAAAAAATCGTATGCCACTAGATTTTTAAATAATTTTAAATGTACAATCAATTTGTGGCATAAAGTATTCTTGTAAAGTATGTGTAAAATTATTTATAAAACCAGTGGCGTAAGATTTTTTTTCAAAAAAGGTCCCCTCCTCTCCCAATAACTACGCCACTGGAGCGTATTTTGGAATAAGCTATCCATGAAAAATAGTCCCTACGAAAAAAATGTCAGCCCCCAAATTTTATCACTAAATATTTTTTGCCAGTTAACACCCTGTATCTCCGTAGGGAAGCCTCCCATCAAAAATTTTTATAGGGCAAAAGCTGATTATTTTCATCGGTAGAATACGCTATTAAAGTTTGGCAAAACTTATTTTAACATCATGTATGATTAGCTTGAATATTTCCTTATCATTGTCAAAATCAACATATTATTTAACTGACCACCGAATAATTTTTATTAATAATGCTAAACCTGGGGCAACGAATTTATCTTATAAAATGTTACGGAATCGGTAATGTTTCATATTAATATGCAATATAAATTTTTAATGAAAAGTAACTGTAACTCGTAGAGTAATTCGCAAGCTAATTATAAACTTCGATTCCACTGGTGATGTAAATATTAAAAATATAAAAAAATAATACAATAATAATGATGCTACTACTGTTGTAGTTATGGATTCTGTACAATACAATTCAAAAATGTCACTCAGGAAAAGATCAGAAAACATAGATATTAGCAGATCTCTTATTCAAAGAATATAATATATATTTTGTTGTATACAACAAAATTTATCCATTCAAACCAGTGTTTAATTATAATTTGCTTGATGGAGATGATGGTCGTTATTTGAAGTTTTGTTTAACAATGGGCGAGAAACTGATTGAAAACAAATTCTTTCATCACAATATTTATAATATTCATAAATTAATAGGGAGATTTCCTCTCAAAATTGTAGATACTGGGCTAAAGATCCTAATTTTCAATTGATGATAACTAATAGTCAAAAACTAAAAAATGTAAATGTTACTGTGACATAATGAATCATAAAATAATGGTCCTTACTTTTTGGAAGAAAATATTAATCAAAATTCGTATTTGGAAATTCTCTATAATTTTGTTTTGGCGGAACTAGATAGCGAAAATTTAGAATTCAGAAGAAAACTAATATTTCAATAAGACGAATGCCTTGCACGTTCTACACGTCTAGTGAGAAACAGGCTTGACGTTCACTTCCCGAACAAGTGGATCGACACTATGGACCAATACTTTGGCCTGCACGACCAGCCGACTTATCCCCATTAGATTATTTCTTATGAGGATACCTAAAGCAAAAAGTGTATTTAAACGATTTTGACGATAACATTGATTTACTTAAGCAAAAAATTCAGGAAGCTGTTGCCACCATAAACGAAGAAATGATTTCGTCTGTGTACAAGGAATTTAGAAAAAGTTTAAAAAATTTGTATTACTAGGAGGTTTACAAGTTGAATAGGACTTACTTCGTTGTTACTAGTAATTCCAGTTCTAATTTGTTATTTTTATTTTTTAATTAGAAAAGCTACTTTTATTTGGTTTGCAGGCTACCGTCGGTTTAGGTTTCTTGACATTTCTTTTCAAAAATTCGAAAACTTTCAGAGTTACTTCTGAGGAAAATGTTCTTCTTTTTTTATTACACCCCGTATTTAAGCATTTGTTGAGTTCTCGAACAACTTTGTAATATTTAGTTTTAAAGGAAAACTAAAATTAAACGCACTTTGCTTAGGGAAAATTTTACATTTTGAAATTTTTTGCTATAGCTTCCCAATATAAGCAAAACTTTTTATCAAGAACACCTTCTTCTCGAAAAATCAACAATAAAAAGTTTACGGAGACACACTGTATTTAGACAGAATTTACGAAAAAGAAAAAAATCAGTTTTGACTCATATTAGGGTTCAGCGCATCGAATTCCTTCGGAAATTGAATGTGGGTCTTTTGGGTTTGGACTTTTTTTCTGTGTGCCTGTGCAATTATTTACTTCTACAAGAAGAAAAATAAATATTTTACGCTGTACCTACTCCTAATTTCACAAATCACAATGAAATTCTCACAATGACATTTCTCAAAAAGTCACCACAAATACATTAATTTTATAATTGCAGTAATAGGTATGTTTTTTATATGACTATTATGTCTAATCAAGACAGTTGCACAAAATAAAATGTACTTTATTTCTTTCCAGATTGAAACATCGCTCCCTTGTAAACCTCTCTCCCTTTGTTAATTTAAACTTCCAGAGAATTAAAGGAAAACTTTATGAAGATTTGCTTTTTTATTATTCCTTCAAACTGGAGCTTCAAAATGCCTCATTGCTGGTATTCGTTTTAGGAATTTAAGATATTCGTAGCAAGGTTTTAATAATCAAATTCTTTAAGCATTTAATTAAATTTTTACCGAATATTACATTCCGTGTAGTCTAAATAAGTTAGGGTTTCAAAAGCAACGCTTTAATAACAAAATACCTTTACTTTGGTTTCATAACATAATTTTATAATATATTACATATTTGTATAACGATCAGTATAACGTAATTGATATTGAGAATAAATAACTTTAAATTACTTAAATTAATGTCAGTCCTTCATAAGTCCTCTTATATGCAAGGATTCGTTTAAGAGAATGTAAAATTTCAGTTGATTTTCCTCACTTAATTGAAACACCTTTTGATAGATTTTGTCCACCTGAGGAATCCTTATGAACGTCCAAATATAAACGTTGACAAAAGTTGCCATAAGGAACTGACAGTCGAACCTGTCAGTTAACCCTCCATGTCCTGGGATAAGGTCACTGAAATCTTTAACTTTGAAGGCTCTCTTAAAGCCAGACGCACAGAAGCCTCCGAATGGCGCTATGACGCTTGCAAAAAGAGAAAAACCCAAAGAATGTAGTAGAAAAGGGAATACTTTAACAGAAATGCCAGTATTTCCGATATCATAATAAATCGGTTGGAATAGATAACTAGGAGTACAGTTTGTATTCATTATTATACCATTCTCAGTTTCTAAAAACCTAACAGGGCAAATCAAAAAAGGAATATGGCAGAATATGAACGACAAGAAAGTACCAAGTACCAAAGTGGAAATCCCACCAAATATGAAACCTTCCAGCGTCTTATTAGGAGACAAAGAAATCAGTGGTGTTTTACCCAGTAGTAAACCAAATGTATAAGCAAATACGTCGTTCAAGATAACTACACATACTGGTATAATTAACCAGATAAGTCCCTCAAATATATTTTGGACGATCATATAGCTTTGGAAGCCGATGATGATTAAAAGAAAATGAGTCCAAGCAAGTAAGCTAAACTGCTGTCTTATAAATTTCCTTCGTAGCCTGGCTAGAAACCAAATCATTCCCAGGAAATAAAAACAAAAAGAAAAAAATCTGTGATAGCTGAATAGAATTTTAACGAGATAATACTTGTCTATGAATAGCTCTAGATATTCTGCGAATGTCTCACCAAAGAAGAAGTAGTTGGCTATGATCACAAAATACCAGTTCAGTGATCGGAAGTACAGTACGTTTGGTATTTTCTTAGCATTGATTGCAATGTTGATAATTTCATCATGACATTTTATTTCAATAGCCAGAGCGTGTAGCAGGATTACTGGAAGGCCGTAGTAAACCATTATGTGGAAGTAAGCTATAAGAGTTAACCCGGTGATGGTTCTTCGCAGAGCATTGCTCCTGATGTGTGGAACTGGAAGCCAACTAAGCAGACTTTTCGTTTCTAATTTTTCTTCTTGCTTACTCATTTTGGCCTAACACCAGCTAGATGCACTGAAACAAAAGATATGTTTAAGGTTTTCATTTCTATTTAATTTAATAAATATAGTAGATATAACAATCGTCATTTGTGATGAGCTTTGCGTTTAAACTCAGGCATTAAATCAGTTTAATAGAGATATTACGGAAGTTCGTAATTGACATTATTTTAGTAACAAATTACAATTATCTTATTTTTTGAAAATTTTATACATACAGGGAAGGCCAGAAGTACGGAATAAAATTCATATCTTTTGAATGAGTTATTTTTTTTTTAAACGCCGAAACACGTTAACTGATTTTGATTTTTTCCCATCTTTCGGTTATATAATAATTAATTTTTCTTCAATCCCCTAACCCCCAGCTACCCGCACTTTTTTTTTCAAATGGAAACATAAGGCATGAGGGGGCTCGTTGAAAAGCTTATAGAAAACTGAATCCAGCCATACCAAATAAACAAGTTTTATTTTTTCAATAGCAAGGTTTTTAGGGTTGTATAAAACACCTACTTAACAAGTGAAATCAAATTTAATTATCTTCAGTGTTATCCTCCATGAATTTGCACAGAATAAAATAAAGAATTTGAAACTGTACCTATCACTGCTAACGCAAAAAAGATATATTTTTTATGTTGCGTTTTTTTGGCACCACTTACTTGCCAGGCTTTCTGGTTAATTTTTCGCTTTAGTTGTAAATTGGAGTTCGAAACGTTACTATTGTGTCAAAATCAAGTTATTTACTGAATTGCAATGGTATTGTCGGAAAGGCAACGCATCGAAATCTTGATATTGCTTGGATGTGGAGACAAAATAAGAAGTCAGGCTGAAGTGCGCGATTTATTTAATGCGAAATATCCCGAAAACCAAATCTCGCAAGGGACAGTTAGTAAAATATTTCACAAATTTGAGGAACACGGTACAGTACAGACTTTGCCCAAAACTGGACGGGCACGTGCTTTGAATGAAGAAAAGAAATTAGACATTGCATTAGAACTTGTTGAAAATCCTCATACTTCAACTGTTTCATTGGCCCGCAATCACGATGCTTCTCGAACTGCAATTCGAATGTTTCTGAAACAAGAGAAATACCACCCCTATAAGGTATGTCTTGTCCAAGAGCTTTTGGAAGACGATTATGATAGGCGATTACAATTTTGTGAGGAAATGATGAGACGGTGTGACGACAATAATGGTTTTCAACGAGACGTACTTTTTTCGGATGAAGCTACGTTTTATTTAAATGGAGTGGTTAACAGGCACAACTATCGCTTTTGGTCCCAGGAAAATCCACACTGGACATGCGAATCGCATACGCAGCATCCACAAAAAGTTAATGTATGGGCAGGTATCATCAACAACAGAATCTTGGGCCCATTCTTTTTTGAAGAAAATCTTACTGCCGCACGCTACCTGGATTTCCTAACATTTGACCTGATACCTGCTCTAGCTGTGATTTTCCCTCATGAAATTGATCCAGATATACCGAATGAAAGAATTTGGTTCCAACAAGATGGCGCTCCCCCACATTTTGGTATTGATGTTCGAAGATACTTAGATGAAATGTTTTCAAATCGCTGGATTGGTAGACGGGATACAGTTGAATGGCCGCCAAGATCCCCCGACTTAACACCCCTGAATTATTTTCTTTGGGGATATTTGAAAGAAAGAGGCTACTAGGACACACCGGATAATATTGAGAATTTAAAGAACAAGATTAGGGCAAAGATGCATAATTTACTTTAGACAGCTTTTACTATCGTCTTGGAGATTGCCAAATAGTGAATGGAGGACATTTTCGTGATTTGCGACATTGAGTTTATTTTTGTAAATTATCTAGTTGTTTCAATTTCTAAATGAAAAAAAAACTTGCTATTGAAAAACTAAAACTTGTTTATTTGGTATGGCTGAATTCAGTTTTCTATAAGCTTTTCAGCGAGCCCCCTCATGCCTTATGTTTCCATTTGAAAAAAAAAGTAGGGGTAGCTGGGGGTTAGGGGGTTGAAGAAAAATTAATTATTATATAACCGAAAGATGGGAAAAAATCAAAATCACTTAACCTATTTCGGCGTTTCAAAAAAAATTAACTCATTCAAAATATATGAATTTTATTCCGTACATCTGGCCATCCCTGTATATGATCGCTTAGATGAACGTGACGATTTTGAGTTTAATACAACACAATAATGTTATCATAAGGGCTGACAATTTTGCCAAATTGCACACGATTATCTAATATCGACCTTGAATATACATATATTTTTTAAGAAAAATAGTTAAAAATGGAAAAAATATCCTCTACTTTATTTGGCTCTACTTTATTTGGGGGTTTCCTTTTTTCTTTTTTTTTTTTCTTTTTTTTTTCTATTAGTAATTAGTAATCTTGACTACAAATGTAAGCGAATTCATGATAAATACTGAAAATAGCAGCCAATTTCAAAATATAACCTTTATTGATATCTTTTAACCCATTTACTAGGATCACCTTTAAACAGATGTAGCTACATTTAAGAGCTACATTTACATAAACTTTGTTAGGTAATCTCTTCTCAAAAAAAAATATTTCCGAATTTCCTCAGTTTATTTTAAAAAGAAAATATATTATATTATTATCCGATGCATCTCAGATAATTAAATTGTTTTCCATTTTCTCTTAAATTAAGCCTCAAACATATAAGACACATATTTTACTTACTACAAATAATGTGGTCACTCGACGATATAAGGTACCTATTATTAAGTTAGTATTAATACACATAGTTAAATTAGTAAAGTATTATACTTAACACAAAATGAAATACTTTTTAGATGTTATTAGTGACTTATTAACATTATGCTTCTGAAACATTAAGGGTAACATGATTAGTTTTTTAAATATTTGAAAAAAAAAAACGAAATTTTGGAAATCTGTTTTTGTTCCATTTCAGCCTTGTTTTGAGGTGGAATTGAAAAATGGCAACTTTTTGCCCTCTATCGAATGGCATAATCAATTTTTATATGTAAAGCTTCGTCTCTCTAGGACCATTATCAACTTCATTTTTTTATATACGACCCTGGAAATTTTATTAATTTTTTGCAACCTTCATGATCCCCCAATACTGGTACTGCCTCAGCCCGAACTAGATTCAGACGTTTTGTCTCGAAAAATTCAATTGCAATGTGTTCGTTCCAAAAACAAATTTTTTTTATTTAGATTTCTATGTTTATTAAATTATCGTACACTCTAAGTGTCGTTAGACCCTGTGAAATTCACCTAGTTACCTAAACTGTGACCATCACACGTTACAATAAAACATTGTAGGAGTTTTAATCTCCATAATTCATCAGTCGTACATAATTCGACAAGTTGCTGGATCAAAATTAAAACATTACAGTTTTAATTTCATTACGACAAATTAATTCTTAAAAATGTATATGAACAACCAAAACTCTGAATGAATATTATACTTTAAAAAATTACAGTAAATGTTCAAAAACAATTCCGTTTTGGCAAATGTTGAAAATGATATATGATCGGAATTTATTATACCTGCAACCGCAATTGTGTAAGAGCAGGTCAGATGTATTTGTATGAATATCCTGAAAAAAATTAAATCGAAATTAGTTTGCATTTTGAGCAGTCGAGAAAACTAGAAATAACTACGAGCACGGGATTAAAATTCTAATAATGTTTTATTGTAACGTGTGATGGTAATAGTTTAAATAACTGGGTGGATTTCACAGGTCTAACGACACTTAGAGTGTACGATAATAATTCAAGAAACATAAAAACCTAAAAAAATTGTAATAACATTTCCAGGGGCGTATTTAAAAAAATGAAGTTGATGATGGTCTTGGAGAGACGAAATATTACATGTAAAAATTGATTATGCAATTCGATAAAAGACAAAAAGTTGCATCACCTCAAACAAGGCTGAAATGAAACAAAAACGGATTTCGAAAATTTCGGTGTTTTTCAAATATTTCGAAAACTAATCGTGTTAGACTTGATTTTTTAGAGGCACAATATTGGTTTCCTGATTATGCAACTTTGCCCCCATTTAAGCTACTTCGTATCTCTTACTGTTTCCGTGATCCCTGTAACAACCTATATGTTTTAGGCTAAAAAATAAGCTTGTTTTTATGTTTGGCTCTCCAAATACTCCCCTGCGCCAAGTTTTATTCAAATATCCTAAAAAATAACGGAGTTATAGTAAAAAATAAAAAAAAAACTTATTTGTAGGTCCGTAACTTTTTAAGGAAGAATTTTGGCAGGGTTATAAATTAGATTAATTGCGTTGTCTTCATCTGAAGAAGCTTTATCATATCCAAGATTCTGAAAATTTTCAGTGTTTGTGATTGTTGGAAATATCCCTAATAAGTTTCAATCATGATCGTCATTTTATCTCTGCTGCATTGCAGATTATTTTATACTATTTGCTATTTACTATTTAAATATTATTAAATTAGGCGTATAAAGTAGATACAGAACCTTCATAAATGATTACAAGCCTCGTGAGCAGTAATTTTGTTTGGAACAGTAATTTTATTTCCTTCACGTTGGCAATTAAATTTCGGTAAAATTAAAACAATAAGAACAAGATTACATTAAAACACTACATTTTGTTTCACCGGCTGGTGATTGGTGTAATTTTTCACGAGATTCTATTCAACCAGTCAGCGATCGCATTATCTCGAGTGCAGGCACAACGGTTTGTTACTGTTCATTGTAAATGAATCATTAATATTGGTGACCATAGCAGTACCAGTCGTGCAAATTAATTATCTCGTCACCGGACGGGTGTTGAAATAACAAAAATCACTTTAAAAAATGATGTATTAATCAACAAGAAGCAAGTTCACAATTACACGTTTAATTTCAAACTGAATGGAATAAGCGAAGCAATTCTCTTATATAATAAAATAAAGCATTCTCAGCAAAAGATAAGGAAGTTGACTTTTGTATCTAGTTATTACAGCAGAGAGGATAATGATTCTGTAAAATAAAATATGAACATAAAAATAATATATCTATATATA